GCATCAACCGATTGACAAATAATATCGAATTAGCACTTCCCATCCTCGACGATGCTTTTCGGTAACCTCTTTCCCTCTGGAGTTTTTTCCCTGCGGACCGACTAAACATATTTGTCAGAGTTACCGATGCCGAAGCAGTGGCAATGTCGCGCTATCTTGTCAAACACGACGGTTTGTTTTTAGGTTCCAGCAGTGCATGTAATCTGGTCGCATGTGTGAAGCTTGCGAAACAGAAAGGATGGAACAATGGCCAAACTATGGTTACTATTCTGTATGAATTCTTCCATTATTTTGGAATCATCACAATGTTGACAGCCAAATAGGTGTGATTCTGGGACACGGCATTATTCGAAGGTCAGTGTTGTATAGGTATAAATGTTTCCGTAATTCATGAAGATGTATCGTTTTGATATAGTTCTGGTAAGTCAATTTTGTTTACCAGCATATGACAGTAAATATTGAGTCAACTTCTAGGAATGATGAATATTTGCAAAAAGCAAACATTCCGGTCAACCTTCAAATCGTCGAAGATCTTCTCAGATCTTGAACCCAGACCATTCAGCACCGACATTTCGAGAGAGCCCAATAGTCCCTTGATAGATGATTTGTAGAGGCATTATAATGTACATTAATTAGCATCTAGCATCTAGCATCACCCTACTCTTGTACAACAACATAACCTTCAACATTTTCGCCAATCGCAATCCGTAGCCCAGCCCAGATGCTATCAATCAGGGCAGCCCCATTAGCACATGCGAATACCAATGTAGAGGCGTAAAAGAAGTTGGCGTTGCCTGTACCCTGTGTCAACCATAGGTGATGGAATAAAGGCATGAGGAGTGAAGCGTGCAGATGAAGAAGTGTGGTGACAATTGGATGTCTCAAATCTGATAAAGTTGAGTGGGTAACGTTGACTGAAGGTAAAGAAATCGATACGCACACGGATACGTCTCTGGGAAAATGGCGATCATGCTCAAGAAAAGTCCGGGATCTGAGAGGGTTGAATATGCTTTGAAGGTTCCTAGAATGCCAAGCAGGATAAAAGAAGCATAGAGAGCATCGTATCTGAAAAGTTTTGGCTTTAGTCAAATAATCTAGTGTAAAATGAGATTATACTTACTGGAATTTTATACAGATCGGAACCACGTAGATTAACAAATGGACCTATGACGTAGTCAAATCAGTTCTTTCGTTCGGGTTCAAAAAAAAGAGGATTCTGTCAAACATTGAAGACCATCAGGAAGAACGGACGGAAATGATCAAACATCTCAGTGAAGAAGTACCACCACAGACCGGTATTTGGTGTAAGATCAGGAAGTGTCAGGCTACGAACATTGTTCTGTGTAAGCCCAAAAGATATAGTATATCGCACAAGATATTTCAAGACGTACGTTGCACCCCAAGTCTGAGGTATCCATGCCCAGCTCCCAGCAACAACTGTAGAGACCAATGTCAGGACGAGAGTGTACACCACAAATTCCACACAAAGAGGAATTAAACTTCGAAAATTGGCTGATATTGGTCTAGGTGATGCGAGGTGGGAGAATGGATCGCTAATGAGAAGGAGAAAGAGTGGTAATATCATCACAATGTTTGATAGTGATAGGTGAATGAGGAATGACATGGCCAGTAGAGATGCAGAAGATTTTCCTGGAAGGAGAATATGAGCTGAATGGTATTATAGACGAGGTGAGCAAGTTTTACCTCGGCAAGCAAACATTAGGGATGTAAGGAGCAGGGTATTTTCAAATGATGAGGTAGAGAGCGCGAGTGAAGGAAGAAGTATATAGGGATTCAAGAGGTATCTGCAAAAGAAAAAGAATCAGATCTATGCATACAAATGGCTTGAGTAACGACGACTTACAATGCCGCGACGAGGGCATCTCGTGGGCTGCTCTTCAGGTTTTGGCGAGCTCTCCAAATCTGGACCAGGGCCCATGCACCAGCAGCATCGTTTACAGTCCACAAAATTGATGCTAATTTTCTTGAATTGGGTAGGAGCGTCGCGAAGAAGGACAACAAAAGGGGTGACTAGATACAAAACGCTGGTAAACGCGTGCATAGGACGTGTCTATCTGCCAATAGAACACGTACATGACGAAATGAACCCCCAGAATAAGGATCTATGTCATGGTTGAATAGATAGATTCCTTCCCGCACTATGAGAGTATGTTCAATCCTTTCGTTCATGGGAGCACACAGGTATGAATACATACATTGCGAGAACGATGTTAGCGGCGATGAAAGTTGCTGGTCATGCTTCAGAATATTGGAAAGATCTGTCAGCGATAACCAAAGTCTCGAGGCGACAAGAATTGAGAATGCAATAGCGAAATTTGAATGGACTTTGGTTGTGGGCATTCTACGGACCAACTAAATAATCCTTCGACTGAATTGCAGACTATGATTGACTGAGAATGTATTTGCACAAATTTGGCGACTGATATCGGGTCGATGGCGTAGTTGGTTATCGCATCTGTCTAACACACAGAAGGTCCTCAGTTCGAGCCTGGGTCGACTCACTTTTTTGCAAGGGTTCCTTCCTGTCAAGACTCCACTCCACTTTCTGTCAAGACTCCACCTCCTCCACTTATGACGTACAGTATCTCCACTCCCTAGTATATATACACCCAGTTTTCATAATAGTTTTCCAAATACAAATGCCTCTTCTCAAATCTAAATTCTCCTCGTCACCCACCAGTGACACAAGCACCTCCCAGCCGTCATCTCCTACCCGGAAAAGAAGCATTTTTTCATCCAACAGTCGTGACTCGACCCATGACCCCACCCATGATAACTCCAGTACTCGCTCAGGCCTATTCCGTAGACATCGCTCGAATTCATCGGAATACGAGTCTACCGGAGAAGGCAGCTCCAGGTTTTTCGGTCTGCGCCGCAACGATAACATCGAGAACGACCCAACCATCCGTCGTGCTCTCAAAAAGGTGGCAGATGCGGAAAAGGCGGAAAAACAAGCCGATATCGCCCTCATTGACGCTAGACAACGTGTTCGTGACGCTCAAGAACACGTTCGGATTTTGGAGCAGGAGGCACTTGAAGGGTAAGGCATCCAACTTTCATATTTAATCGTGTATGGTATTCACGACGGTCGACAGTGCAAAACTTGCTAAAGCGAAACAAGCTCAATCAAAGATGGTTAGTAGGAGCGCCAAAGCTCTTGGACGACATGGATCATGAATGATTCTGTTAGGACATAATCCCATTTCCCTTGCTTCCCGGTCTCGTTGGATTTTGACCTTTCCATATATTACGTCGTAATTGTTCTGATACATTGCCCTAGTAACACAAATCTCCTGTACAAAGATCATGTAAGCCTCCGCAAATAAATATGATCTCCACGGACTAAAAATAAGCTCCTGCGCCAGCATATTTTCCGACTGAGGAGGGGCTAAGCGATTCCGTTGTTAAATGTTCGGTTGTAGGTGAGCCAGACTGCTCTAGCTCGTGCGACTTCCGGCGGGTGTACTCGACAGAACCGGGCCCAAAAGCAGGTGCTGGAGGTGTATACGGCTTCGCTGGAATGGCTATTCTACCACCAGGTATTCGTGGTTGCAAATCCTTCTGTGTTGGAACGGGTTGATAGTGTAGCTGTGAGGATCTATTAGTCGAGTCAGGAAAAACTAACAGAAGAAGTTGCCCATACTGTATCATTCATCTTCTTGTAGTATTTGTAGAAGACATTCACAGCAGACAGTTCGTCAGCTACCGTGCTCTTCCATCGTTCCTCCTGTTCCTTGTCAATATTTCCAATATTTATCAACTTTCCCGCATCTTTCAGTTCTTCGAGTTCCTTCTTCGTCCAATGCAGAAAGCCCACGGCTTCGCCCCCTTTTTCTGTACCTCCCTTTTCCCCAGCTTCGACACCAAGCCATTTATGAGAAAGGGCATTGTGCAGAGCTGTCTGGTTTCCTAGATATCGCCGTAGATCTGCGCAGACCTCCATATTAGATTCTCCAGACAAGCTCTTACTCGCTCCGGGAGTTTTGGCAAGTAACCGGGCCGACGAGTAAAGGGACGAACATTCTATGTGTAGTTTAGCAAGTAACGCTGGCGGCGGATGAGACTTTGGGAGTGGAGGGCCGGGTGCTATATTACTGTCGTAAGCAGACTTTGAGAGTAATCTTCGGATGGCTAGAGTTTGTGCGTCGGCCAATGACATTCTGAGGATTGGAACGTTGAACGGTATCTAGTTGGGGGGAGGAGAAAATACTCACTTCGCCAATGCGTTATTGACCTCTCGGCTGATATCTGGAGGCTTGTGGAATCCTGTTGGACAGCCTCTATTGGCATCCCATTCGAGGAGGACAGTTTCGCCAATATATGTGAACACGCCGCTGGCTCGACACAGAAAATCAACAGCTACGTTTAACTGATCTTCCTTGGATTTACGTCCCGCATCTGAAATTGTTCGATCGTGTTCATATATCCCAACGGATGAAACGATAGTATAGCCAAGGTTACACAGGGCAAACGCATAGGTCAAGAGGGTGAGGGAGTAGTCCGCATATATGCCCGGAAATTCAAGTCTTGGGGAGTTGTTAAATATCTGCGCAGATAGGGTAGTTCGCCAGCTGAAGGCTGTGAGGAATCTATCGATTCGGCTTGCCGTTTGGGAGATTAGAGAATGGCCTACACACTTGGTTCCGCTCTGATGCCTAGTTCATCGTGCGCGAGACAATTCAATACAGCACGAATATGAGGTAGATATTCCTCAACGACCTTAATAACGTATAGTCAATGAAACAACCCAAGACCTAGAAAGGGGAGGTAACCTTGACGAGACTCAAGTAATCCTTCTCGTTGTGATTGGTGCGTTTGCTGCCTTTGAGAATGCCACGAAGATTCGCCCTCGCCTGCGTTGCATTAGACAAGTGAAAAGTATAGGCTTTCTCACTGCTGAGATCTGTACAAAACTCCGAAAACGTAACAGCGCCGGTTGTGGGTAGCTCGTATAAATACATAGTTGTAGACAAAAAAAGTGAGTCGACCCAGGCTCGAACTGAGGACCTTCTGTGTACACTTGTTAGACAGATGCGATAACCAACTACGCCATCGACCCTTTGGGAAAATACACAGATGAGGAACATATAGTGTGACAATCATAAGCATGGTCTGTGCGTGGGAGCAGAGTGAGTAAAGTATACGTCGGAGTTTGAAGTGTCCTGGGTTTGGTGGGATTTGTAGGTGGTATAAAAGGGAGGTTTCCTTGCTTCCTCCACGCTCCCCAGCCGGCCTCCCCCAGTGGTACAATCAATTCCGAGCATCATTTGCTTTCGACCTCAGTCCAATGTCAAATAAGATAGTGGTGAGCTGCTCACCAACCCCCTTTTTGTAGCTTCCCAATTGGTTTTAACACCGATATTTCTCTTGAGCCTACTATCTATCGAGCTGTCATAGACGATGTCATCTCTGCAATAAAGCCCGAGTTCGACGAGTTTGGCGTCAATGAGGAAGTTTTAGCTGAATTGCAGCATGTAAGTTGGGGCCTTCTATCTCAAGTCTCAAGTACACTTTCTGAACACCTTCCCCACCCCTTTCGTGCCGCTCAGAAATGGGAGAATAAAGTTATTGCATCTCATGTCGCAGAGTTTGAGACCCCCCCACCACCGCCTCAAGTTCCTTCTGCTACCCATCCTGCGCAGCAGCAACATCATTTTCCATCACATCCTATGCACATGATGCAAAATCCTGCTCATTATGGAGCCACCCATAACCCTTACGGATCGACGGTCAAAAGTGAGCCAGTCGACAGCCGTTACATGCTAAACCCTAGCATGCCTTACTCTCTTCCGCCTCTTCCTGGCCCTAACATTAACGGCTCACGTGCAAATCCTCCTGCTGCGCTACCCCACCCAGGCGGTCAAACAGGGGTTATATCCTTCCCCAGAAATGCGCAATCTCAACCTGCTTCAGCCTCTACGTCAGCACGCCCCTACCAACCGCCAACACAACGTATCCCGCAAGTAGATGGGCCTTCAGACTCTTCCGGTGAAGAAGATTCCCCATCTCCTCCTCCAGGTTCCTTTGCTCCAAGACCGTCTCATCCTTCACTGCCGCAACCGCCTGCACCTTCACAACCCCAACCTATCCTGGATTCAGAAGCTATCAACAGTGACCTGGATGACTCTGACACGGAAGGCGAAGATGACGACGAAGAAGGCACTGCAGGCGAAACCGATATCGTCTTCTGTACTTATGACAAAGTAACGAGACCTTGAGATGATTTTATCTTTCAAGGCCTAAATCTCTTCTGTTTGTTTAGGTTGCCCGCGTGAAGAACAAGTGGAAGTGCACTCTCAAAGACGGCATGATCCATGTCAATGGAAAGGATTATCTTTTTCAAAAGTGCACTGGGTAAGATTTATATTTGTCTCTACTATGAGCATCGACTGACGCGTATTTCTAGAGAATTTGAATGGTAGGAGTTGCTACTGATGACGAAAACCCACTTGTATAACATCCTCGCTAATTGGAATCCCTGTCTTGTCTTTGGGCCCTCTCCCCTGTCATTTTCATAAATCGCAATCTCTCTTTTCTTTTTCAAATCATCGCATCGTATTCTATCTCACATACACCCTATCTTCGCTAGTTATACAGAAAAAAAAATCTCGTGCGGTTCCTATGCGCCAGACCGTGTGTTGTATCTATATTTTATCAAAACATATTTTACAATGAATAGATTGTTGTTTTTGATGGAAACAAGGTTCAACATTGAGTGAGTTATAATGATGTGAACGTGGATATACGTGTATGGATGAGTAGCAAGAAGTATGTTTTGCCAAGAAAGAGACGATGAATGCATGAATTTGACAGAGAGTTGTCCGAAACATTATGATACAAATGAATAGAATTGCAAAAAGTAAGTCATGAAATGTTTGCATTGGATGTCAGAAAAACATATTACTGGGAGTGATTTGAGGAAAGATCCAACCGCAAATCCTCTGGAGAGCGGATCAAGGGTGTCGATTGTGCTATAAGAAGTCGAAGAGTCTTCTCGTCCAATGGTTCTCTTCGATAACGCCCTTGCCTTTTCAGTTCATTCAATGGCGCGAGGCCACTTGAATCTTCCTCAGATAGATCTTCCATCACGATGGCAGAATCGGGAGGTGTTTGACATTGTCTGGCGCTTGGGTAATGCAGGGGAGGGATTTGAAGAGGAGCGAGTGATACTCCTCGATAGTCAGGGGGTGGAGGTGATGTGACTAACGAATAGGAAGGCGTGAAATTGGGGTGGTTAGGTCTTGGACTTGTGAATTGTGATGAGTGTCCAGCTGGCGCCACACTAACATGTGGTGTCGAGTTACGGTGGTCGTATGACATAGGTGGCGCTGACTGACAACTCGCAGGGCCGTTGTGGACATGACGGGCATAAAAGTATGAGTCCTGATTGGCCCAAGGCGGTGATAAGGTCCTCGGAGTTGAGTAATTCTGAGGGCTCGTTGCCGGCACTGACATAGCATCTGTGGTGGGAGGTTGATAATGTGAAGTATAGTGAGAGTGGCTGGCTCCAACTGGACTGGTAGGGTAGCGATGATCCACGTAGGAATTCGATGGTTCACTAAGAGAAGGTCCAGAATAGGAAGTCACGTCTCCAAAATATTGGCCACTAGTAGTAGGCGAAGCCGGACTCAGCGATCGTTGTGAATACTGTGCTGAGGATTCCACTTGTTCTTGATAATATTCAGCTTGATCATGCCTCTGGTAAGGTTCATGCATCAAAACAGGATTCGTGCTAAGCGTCCCAGGCTGCCCTTGTTGTAGATATGCTGCATAAGTACGGGGTATACGTGATGCATCTGACCGGTTATGTTCATTAGTTTTGGTCCGGCTTTTGCCCACTCTCGTACTCTTGAACATGCCGTCGGTAACGACGATATCTCGTACATGGGGAATATCGTCCACCGTACCCAATTGGTCGATAGTCGCCTGTGTGAAGTACGCAGCTAGAGCGTGGATATTAGTGTCAAGCGAACTTGAAACAAAAATAGGACGGGTAGTTACTGAGGTGCCATTTCCTTCGTCCTTTGTCGGTCTCAACCCAGACAGAATATGTCTGTTTGACAAGTTGATCCCAGTCCCGTGGAGGGTGACGCTCCGCAGAGTTCCTATAGATAAAGTTTTTGACTTTTCCATGATATTAAAAGGCCCAAAGAGACAAACCCTATATTACTGACGTCTGCGGGTGGAGAGTACTTCTCGTAATAGAAAAGAAATTCCTAGTATGTGTATAATAGTAAGGATGATTTGGCCTCACGATTCGGAAGCAGAAAGGTATACAAACATCTCGCACGCGTGAGGGTGACCATCTTCTGCCCTCAGTGAATCGTTCAATACCCAAACCTGTTATCTCACTATGGGGTCCACGTTCTTCCCAAGCATAGATGCAGCCAGATCTCAAGGCAAGTCGCTCCTCAGCGTCAAGACGTCTGGTGACCATGTGGAGCAGTCCTTGTTGTACAGCACCAAATATCTTGTGGGCGTCGGCCGTTGAGCGAATACGGATATTAGTGCATGTCGGGTGCTGCATGACGGAGACTGTGGGTTGTTGTTGAGGGAATAAGGTGACGAGGCGGGGGTTGAAAAGAAAAGAAAAGTAGTAGTAGAAGGTGTGAGATAGTGTAACAAATTTTGAAGAAGAAGAGATTCAAAAGAGCCTGCAATTCATATGATACAAATTCATTTCCGTGTTTGAGTACCTGGCTGAAGGAGCCATCAGCGCTCTATTGAAGATAATCGAGATCCAATAACTCTAATTAGTCTACAACTCAAATTCATTTATTTCAGAGATCCTAAAGATTTACATCCGGTTTTATCCCAAAGAAACATATGCTCGCAAGTTGGGAACCTTTGCTTTTCGACTGGAAACGCTTTTTTAGAGGGGCTCGGCTTGAATCCGGCAAGTGGTAGGTGGGAAATCTGCAAGTTCCTATAGAACGGTTGCGCGGTTATGATGTCCATAAAGTCCATCTACGGACGCCTTTTAAATTTAGCCACCCCTATCCCCAAATTCGCGGACCTGGAAATTCTTGACTCTGCAGACTGGGAGGCCTGAGGGCTACTTTGGTCTGCTACTTTTCACAAGTACGTCAAGTCAAACATGGCACTGGCACCCCTTTTCTCTCGGACAAATCCATAGACACGACTTATGGTTCCAAATATTGACCACGTGCCTCTGAGCACATCTAATAGGAGTGCGAAAGTTCCAATTAAGGCTTGTGTACTGATATATTCAATCCCGTATCTCCGATTTGGCCTTAACTTTTCTCTTGCACGAGGCGGGGTGAAGTAACGTATGTGAACCCCAAATTATCTGTGGAGCTTGGAGACCCGCATTCTGGATTCTAATTATGTTCCTCTGCCTTACTTGACACCTCTTCATCCTCTTCTGTTTATAAGCTACAGTCTAACCCCTCTCAACCCATACCTCTAGTAAGCCATAGGTGATGTTTCCTCATTCCTTTTGACCGCGATCGGGATGGATAACGCATGCTAGATTTGTTTTCACAGGGACAGCCTATGAAATATGTAATATCGAAAACAAAAACCAATACTGCCCGCAACACGTCGGGCGCTTCTCCCACCTGGAACCACTCGCCATACCTACTGCTTTGTAATCGGTTACTTAGCAGACACTTTCGCCGCTATCAAACAAAGAACACTCTCAAAAGAGAATTGATCCACTACCCCACCACATTCATTGGGGCCTCCAAACGGCGTTTCTGTGCCGGGCTGCCTTGGGGTGGTACCGCTACGGGCGTGCCTCAGCAGTGCAGTGGGAAGGGAGAAGGGAAAAGGGCATTAGCCCCGGTAGCACAGTCCATATATACAAGCTTGTAAAGTCTGCATGGGGCGTATGCTTCAAATGACTTAAATTGACAAAAAAAAAAAGCCATCATCCCCATAATCCATAGATTTTGACAGGCACCAAACCGAAATTTAGACCAAAACTGACCTCTCATAACCCATAATTTCCCATAAACCATACTACCTTTGGGCATCCACCGACGGGTATGGGTTAAGAGGGGTTCGACTGTATATCGAATGTATGCTTGATTTGAT